GACAGAAGAACTCCAAGAAATTTTGAATGAAGAACACCAAGAAACACAGCGAAATGTGTCTCCTTCTGAACAAAAGGAAGACGAAAGAGGATACCAATGCCGACATCTGCCGTTAAAGATCTTTTGAAAAAGTGGGAGGATGTCAGAGCAATGGTCTTAGAATGGCACCCAAACTAAGCTGATGTCAGTAGGGTTGGAGATTTTTACAACGACAATGCTATTAATTACTTCCGGAAAATCCTGAAAAAAAGAGAAAAGCAATCGACATTGGACATGCTCTTCAACGCCCCATAAGCAAAAAATGAAAAGGACTGATTAATATGCAAGACTATATGTATGTATTATTTTTTAAAAAACTTAATAAGAAATTATACATTTTTTTAAATTTAATTTTTAGGGTCTCCAGAACGAATTAATCGATTTCACGTAGAAGTCTATGGTGAATCGATAATCGGTTAACGAACAATTCGGATAGCGAACATAGTCTTGGAATGGATTATGTTCGTTAACCGATCACCCACTGTATAAAAAAAAAATTACTTTTTTGCTCCTTTTAGGATATGCCTATTAGAATGTAACTTGGCGTAAAAAAATAAAAATAATAATGACTTATCATACACTATGAAACAAAGCTATGTAACAAATAAAATTTTAAAAACTTCGTTTTCAGCAAACTTTTTTTTTCAAAGGAAAAAACACTAATTTTAGAAACATTCATTCTCTGCATTTGTACCATTTATTAAAAACCTATTAAACTCATTTACTCTTTCCTGATGAATTGCTATATCTAAACTTTATTTCAAGGATAATATTTTCCTTAATAAAAAAAACACTTTAAATAATTTTCCAGCTCTTAGGATGCTAATCTCATCCTGCGATTTTATTTCAGATATTTTGCAAGCAATTTATTTATTTATTTTTTTTCTACTTGAACATCTTATTCTCGATATTTGTATCATCTATTATATGGTTTGAACAAAAAACATAGTTATAGAATCTTAAAAAAAAAAAAAAGAGTTTGTTTGGCTATACAATCAACTATAACCAGGACTTCTAATGATAGTTCACTGATCCTGGACCACTAAAAATTTGACTTGGACCACCATTAAATAATTATTGTGGGTCCCCCGGAGCAACAATCAATACACAGTAGGAAGCAAAAATTTTAAGATATGTTTTCTGATCAAACTTTTTCTGGAAGCAAAATTTCATCATGATGTAAATTAGTAATTTGTAGCTTTAGTCATCCTACATGAGAAGAAACTAATAAACTTGAAGATTTTTAATTTAACAAACACCAAACAAAAATTTGAAAAATTGAAAACGTTTTGAGACGGTTCAGTTTTTCTAAACTTTTCCAAACTAGAAGTTTTTTTACCATAAAGCATGCACACAATCCAGCTGCATTCAGTCTTAAGGCGTGTTTACTCCTGGTGAGTTCAATGGCTATCTCCTTGCATATTTGATTAATGCTTTTGTTTGTGTCACCAACCAAATTTTTTCGGATTAACCTCACTCGACAGTGGGTCATTTTTCTTGGGCTTCTGGTACTAGAAGATAGTACACACTTTTTTTATCCTTCCACTTGTTAACAATGAGGCCAACAGTTGATTTCGGAATTCCAAACTAGGTGATAATAGCAGAAAATGAAACTTTTTCTCAGCTTCCTTAATAATCAAAAGACAAATGGCCAAAGGCATATTTTTCTCTGTCTTCATACTGAAGCTGCAAGGGCAAATCCAAGATTTTTAACTTAATACCTATTTTTGTGAAAAATTTTAGCCACATTTAACTTTTTTAAAAAAAAAATTATATATCATAATTTTATGTAAGAAAATATGTATTAAAAAAAAGGAATAAAAAAGTTAATTTTGAAGGAACTGTTTTTCTGAATAATGCAACAATATTTACCATGACATTTACGATTTACAATTAATTCAAATTTACAATACTCATCTTCATTACACTTTTTAGAATTAAAAAATTTTAATAACATACAAATTATTTCTCAGCATATCATTAATGTTGGGTAGGTAGGAAATGGTGCAAAAAATGGTTATCTCGCAATTTGCCTATTTTTTAAACATTATGATGATTTGATCTAGTTGATCTTCTGGCGGCTTTTCAGGGCCATTAAATAAAAATTTAATGATTTCGTAGAAAGACTGCTTCTCAATTAAGAACATACCAAGAAATTCATCCTGGAAAACAGTCTTCTTACAAAAGCTATTGATATCGACACTATTACCTTAGGTTTAATAACTTCATTAAATTTAGGAATTTATCCCAAAAAGTTTTCTTCCTTTCCATGGTATATGATTTTCATGCTACGTGATTTATAAATCACAGGAATAGAAATTGAGAAGTGATTTTTAAATGTTGTGAAAATGAATCGCATAATGTGATTTTTAAATCTCTTGAATCACAATGTGTGGTTTTTAAAATCCCATTAATATGAATAAAGAACTGTAATATTTTAAAACACAAGAATACAAATCACTACACTGAATACACTATACTACGCTACGATGAATAACGAGTTACTGCTAAGCATTTGTGTTCATTAACAAACTCTAAAAATTTAGAAAACTACGTACATCACTTCCTATTAGCAGAAAAAGAAGCTATTATGGTCAACAACTACAATGGTCTAATATACACAAGAAGAAACTAAGAAAAATTTTAGCCAAGAGATTAGCTAAAAAGAGCATCAAAAAACTGTACTTTTTTTTCTGTTAATAAAAATTTAACAAATTGCCCTTTGAGCAATGATTAATATAAAATTTTATACAATAGATAAAATATCACATACCCTCGTTGAAACAAATCCACATTGATGAATTTGTGTAATTCAATAGAAAATTCTAAGGTGCATTGCAATTCACCCATTTTCTATCCACCTAACTTTGATGCTTGACATTGATGACTATAAAATAAGGAATTGCTAAAAAAAAAGTCAAAAATTGTAAATACATAACTGATTTAAATACCATTTAATGTTAATAATTTAAATAGAAATTAATGATTTACCCTACGAATATGGCAGCAGCTGGATGATCAGCATGGCACGTATATGGTCATGTAATATTTAACAGTCTTTTTTGCATCATTAGAAAATCTTTGAATTTTATAATACTAAACCACTTCCTGCATGGAAAAAAAAATAAAAATCAAACCTGAAAAATTATTTAAATATAAAATTTGTTGACAATGTTTAAATAAGAATAAAATTCATAATTAAATTCTTGATATAGCTTGTTCACCATGAGTTGGCACTTGGCTCCGCCTTCATCACGTGGTATGCGACGATACTATTTCGCTATTTTTGGGAGAAGGTTGTAAGCAAACTTGAACAATGTTGCTATTTGGCGATCGTTTGGCAAAAATATTTATTTCGCAAACTTTATGTGCATTTTTTTAACAATAAATATTTCATAAATTTGATTATATTTTGCACCATTTCTTATGATATTTCTTTCTTTTGAGTGAATAGTTTGTCCTTTATAAGCCATTTCGCTGGGAGAACAACAGTTTTTAAATTGAAACTATATTTAATTAGCTAGTGTAAAATAGCAGGTATAATATAAAATAAAGGTATAATAGCAGATGATAAAGCAAAGTAATGACTGAAAAATAATTCACTTTTTGTGTTTGGCGCAAATTAAGGGTTGTCTCAATTTCAACAACGGAGATGTTTCTCTTCTAACTCCCGCGCTGAAATGAACTCTGCGTCCCAGGAGGTGGAGCCAAGTCTCAACTTCTGGTGAACGAATTATATATATGTTTGAGTCTTCTTTTTATTTATTATTAATGCATCTAAATAAAAAGTGTTGGACATAATAACAGTAGATTCAAAATGTAACATAAATTACTATAAAATAATAATAAAACTACAGAGCAATTTATAATTATAATAAAAGCTACAAATAGGTTATGATTGTATTCATGCATAAGTTAACTATTCCGTGTATTTCTTGGAAAATCAGAGAAAACAATGGTTATATTTGCATTAATTTGGTCCAAAAAATGATGCTGTTGAACTGCATGAAGAAATTTGATAATGTAATTTCTAGATATATACCAAGCACATTGTTAATTAAATATACTTAATGATATTTAAAAATATAAAGACTATTAATACAAGAACATGGGGAGTTTTTTTTTTTTTAAATACAATAGTTTCTAAACTTTTAATTTTAATTTAAGTTAAGATATTTTTTTATTCTAAGTTTTTATTCTAATAGTAACTACTTTTTGCCTGAACCTAAGTAGCAAAAACATGAGAAATAAGTATGGAATTAAATTATTACCAACTTAATACTATGAATGAAAAACTAATATTTTAAAAATGACAAACATACTTGACAAAATTTTAATTATGACAAATATAATTAAAACTCTAGAAAATATTTTTTTTTAAATTGTAACAGCTCTAAAGAAAAAATTTGCATTTTATTATATGTTTATTTTTCAAAAGTGCTTAGAACTAATCCTTCAGAATTGTTGACTTTTGCTTCATTTTTACATTTTCATGCAAAAATAATTACTATTAAAGAAACATTTTTGAACACTATAAGAATTAATAAATGCTAACAATAAAAAAGAGGAGTATAAAATTTCTCCTCATAACATACAGATGATTTTACACAATTTACTTTTTAATAGGTTAAGAAAAAAGCACCTGTCATTACATCAATAAGTATCTGTCACTTTCTATACACATTGCATTTCAAGTAACAAAAAATTATTGAATAATTTTACCACCACAGATACGAATTTTTTAAAAAAGTAAAATAAAAAAACGATTATATCTTACTCAAGATGCAAAAGAATAAACTTTGACTTCTAATATATTATCGATCATGTCTTCAAAAGTTTCATCAAAAACTTTGAAATTTCTGGTTTCAGTTTTTAAAATGTTTTCGATTTACTCATGTGAAAACAAATGTATGCATACCTGCTGTCTGAAATTCTGACAATTCTTAATTTCGATCAAACAAGTTGAAGTTTTAAATGCGAAAAATAAATACCAACACATAGTTTCCAAATAAAAAATAAAATTAATTTCCAGTTTTAATCCATAAAAACCAGCAATAATAAACCTGTAGCCAGAGACTTAAACGGATAAACACTTTTAAAGTTAACTAAATACTGATTTTTGAAGCTTTTCTTCTGGTGAGATAGTGGCACTAGTGTCATTTAAGTGACGATTTGCTAAAAATAACTCGCGTATCTAAATTAAGGACCGTTCTCACTAGAATGTTGTTGTTGTTAATTTACGTCGGACTAGAGCTACACAATGGGCTATTGGCGACGGTCTTGGAAACATCCTGGAGGATGATCCGAAGACATGCCATCACAATTTTGATCCTCTGCGGAGGGGATGGCACCCCCGCTTCGGTAGCCCGACGATCTGCGCGAAATCGAGCACTTTACGGTAGCACAGTTTAACGAGGACCAACACCGCACACCCTCGGTCCCTACGCAGACTGATCCAAGTGGTCACCCACCCGCACACTAACCGTAGCCAGTGATGCTTGATTTCGGTGTTCTGCTGGGAACCGTGTCTCAACTATCAGTCCACTGCGGGACCACACATGAATGAAAAGCTGATTAATGAAAACGCAAAAACCTCACCAACCTGCTTCTCATTCGCATGCGATTTTTTCATGGACAAAGAAACTACAGGCAGTGAGAATAGGTGATCGAAACGGGTTACAGGAGACGTAGAGCAGAGAGTATAATTTTGTTTTCAATAAAAGAAATAAATTATATAATTTCTAAGCTCAAATCTGACATATTTCATAAGATATTAATGTTAATATGTAATTCTGGTGAGTTTGAAGTGAAAATTTTTTTAGTTTCTTAGAGATATATTGTTAAAAAAGGTGACATGGTTGCTAGATTTCGAATAACTCGCTTTTTTGGTAGTCTTGATATGGCCAATTTCCATCAGTTTATTACTGTTTGTTCTTGTTGCAAGCTGTGCACCATCTGACGTTAGTGTTAACCCTTTTAGCATTGTAAACACTAGTATTGTTAGCATTGTAAACACAAGTAATAAGTAATCAAATACATTGTTTGCAAGAATCTCAAAACATAATGATGCCAAATGGCTTTAAAATACAACGGAAACAGTAACCCGGAAATTCAGGTGGTACCGAGCTTGCAGCGTTCCCTAGTGTAGAAAACACCATCCATTTAAGCACTGCCCTCTTATTACATTGCAAATTTTTAATTCCCAATTCTTGATTTTAATGATAAACTGAAAGAAATAAGTACGACAATTTCATCTGTATTAATCTCTTTTGATTAATTATTTCATTTTACTTTTTTGCACCTTTAGGTGCAAGTTAAATTTTAACTCGAAAGCCGTATTACCATTTTGATAAAGGTGACGCACAAATATTTTCAGTCATTTTCCTTTTCATTGATTAGTTGTATAATTAAATATCAACTATGTGGTATCAAAATAGTTTCATTACAGAGATGATCATCATTTGAGAAAATTTTAGTTTTTTCTAAATTTAGTCAAATTTTATTTTAATTAATTATTCAAATGCGACTTTAGTCATCATTCCTTATGCAAATTATAGCTTAATGATTGATGAATAAATTCATCAGTCTTGTTTAAATATTTTTGGATAAACTTCTGAGTATTCGTAACAAATTACAAATGTAATGTTTTCATGTAAAGTAAGACTACTCGAAATCATAATTTTTTGTAACAAAATACGATTACAGCACGATTAATTTTAATAATAATTTCAAATGAGCTTTATTACTTTATAATCAGAATTGTAGGCAATTTATTATTTTTTCATATTGCATAAATTGTATTGGCGATCGAAATGGGCTGCAGGTGGCGTACAGCAGAACTCTTTTCCTATGGCAACACTTCACATGCTTTCCCCATTAGCGTGCGGAAAGTCATAGAGGAAGGAAGTACGTTAGTTTCTCTCTTGATTTTCATATAGATTAAAATCTTTCAACTTGAAACACTATATGAAACTGAAAACTGCATTAAACATAGTTCTAAAGAAAAGTATCACGGAAATTTTAAAAAATATTTTGATTAAATAAAAAGGAAAAATATAAAGAAAAGGGAAAATATAGTAGTACATTCCTATACAACTGAAAAGAGGAGGAGAGGGAAGGGAGAAGGGCTAAAGGCATGAAACCGGTCTCTCCCCAGATGGCGTATTCGAGTGTTGCGATCGCGAATAGCTAAATGAATTCTGCTATTCAACTTAATAAAGATTGCATGTACAGTTTGCAAAATAAAAATGAAAAAACCTGAATAATAACTTTCTATCTAATGATCGGATGTCCACGTACCAGAACTCAAACATTATCTCATTAATTAAAGTCGTATATTTAAAATTAGGAATCTCAAGAACAATTCAAATTAATAACATTTGAGCAATTTTGTTCAAACTTTAGATTTAACCATATAAAATTACATTCTTTAAAATATTGCAAAAATTTCTTTACTTCCTAATTTAAAATGCATTGTTCATAAATACGTATGTAAATACATAATATGTACGTTAATGCAGCGATTCTCAACTTGTGGGGCGAGCCCCCCTAGGGGGACGCGAGCATACTAGAGGGGTGGCGTGAGAATGTTCAAGAGAAAATATTATTTAAAAAAACTGATTAAGTGGATGAAGGGAAATCGCACATACAAATAGAAAGCAAAATGCATTTCGACATATTTAATAACTTACTAAAGTGAAACAACTTATTACATCAAAACTTAAGGTGGGAGCCAAGGGTGGCTTTGCTTTGAGGATTTTTCCTAATTTTCTGATTAAGTCTGTGCGACTGAATTTTTTTCTGTAACATCTGACACCTATCTCTAATATATACCATGTATACTTTTAATTGTAAAATAAAATTTCATTTATTTTATAATACAATTTCAAAATTGTAGCTTTTGCGCCTAAGGTTTCCCTCAGGTTCCAAAGGTGAGTCATATATAGAAATCACTTTTTCACTTACTCAAATTATCTTCAGAAAAAGCATTTGGACTCGCAAACGTTTTTTAAAAAGGCTTGCTGGTTGGAACAAGTTTCCCGACTATAAAAAAGATATTTGCTTTTAGAGTGTATAATTTGTTTATTGATTTTACATTAATAGTTCTTGTGTGAAGTCACTAGCGATTCTCTTGAGTTAACTCATTAGAATTAATCAAGAATTTCTGAGTTGATTTTTTCAAAGGATTAACTAACACGAGTTAAATAACCATAATAGAGTTAACTAACCTAACCCATAACTAGTATAAAAATACTCAAATTTACAAGAAAATACCAGAATCGACCACAAAAACACTCATAATCACCACAAAAATAAAAAAATNGTGATAATAAAGTCAAGTAAAATATAAAAAGTTATTTTAGAAGGAAAAAAAAATTTTTTTTTCCATTTTGAAGTCATTTTTGAAATTGAAAACCTTATTTTTGTCTGAAACTCAATTGAAGGGGTGAATAATGTGCGGCGCCCCTTCTGAAATTTAGACATTTGTGAAAATAAAATTAAGTTATTTTGGTAATTTTAAAAAATAAAAACTTTTTTTTTTCAATTTTGAAGCTATTTTTCAAAAAAAAAAGAAGAAATAAAAACTTTATTTTCTTGTGAAATTTACGCGCGCAGGTCGTCGGGCTACCGAAGCAGGGGTGCCATCCCCTCCGCAGAGGATCAAAATTGTGATGGCATGTCTTCGGATCATCCTCCAGGATGTTTCCCAGACCGTCGCCAATAGCCCATTGTGCAGCTCTAGTGCGACGTAAATTAACAACAACTACACATTCACAAAAATAAAATCCAGTTAAATTAGTAAAATTAGAATTTTCACCCTTCCTGAAATTTGGACATTCATAAAAGTAAAGTTAAGTTAAATTAATATTTTTAAAAAAACCTTTTTTTCCAACTTTAAAACTTTATTTTCGCAAGACAAACACTTTTTTTTACATAATTAAATGAAAGAGACATTTTTAAAAACAAAATACACCCAAACAAAAAACGCACTGCATAAAAAAAATCAAGTGTTTATTTTTATGCAATGCGTTCCATACTAAATAATTTATTCTCTTTTACCCTTCCCGGGAAAAAAGTAATAAAATGCTGCCTTCACTGCAATGCAAATTTTTATCGTGATAAAAATTTGTTCCAAAGCCTCCCTAGACTTTTTACCCCTTGACCACCCACAAAGACTTTAGTTAGACTCCTCAAAATCAACTGCCTCATTTTACACTATGGGAAGAAGTCTTTTCCTTTTTTAAATTGCCTTTATCATTTTTATGGCCCTGGACCTCCTTTGTCCATTTTTTAATATGTCATATATCGAGAGAACCATATTTTATTGGGATATCTCTTCATAATTTGCCTCAGAGAAGCAAGTCTCTAAATTTTCAAAGAAGACAGATGTTTTAAGCTAAAGGCTCTAAACTGGAAAAAAACTTTTGTTGACATTTTCTCGATTTGTACGTAGAGACACTAATATTTTCTCTGGTCATTTTCTAATAAGACTTTCTCTTAGACAAACACTGATAAACGCTCTCTGTTAAATATCTTTTTTTAGCTCTTTTAATGCATTATTTAAATTGTCTATTTTAAAATAAAGCATACATTCTTTGTTATTTTGTTCAATTGTTTTAATGAAGATTTTTTTCATCAGTTTGATAAATTATTTGCAACATAAACATAATTTAGATTTTTTAACAGAAATCGTACCATAAATAATTGTTATTCTTAATGAAGTTTTTCTTCGGATAGCAAGAAATCATAAAATATCTTTCGAAGGTGGTAAGCAAATGTTCTCATTAAATCATTTATTACTTTTATAATTGTGTATTTATGAACGGTTGGAATTATTATTTTTTTAATTGTTCGCATAATAATTGTTTTTATTATGTTCGCATATCAAATTCATTTATATATTATATCAGTTCCTAATTTTAAAATTTGTTGAAACAATTTTCAAATAAATTGCTACCTCATCAGACATGCTTCTTTCTCTGAAAAATAAAATTAAATTTTTGTGTACGTACTTTTGCATAATGAATGTACGCTGATAAATGCACGCGTAAATTGTATATATTTACATGAATGCAAACGTGTATTGTATGTAAGTAATACATATGCGAGTTAGTAAAGTTATTTTTAAGATACAATTTAAGGCAAGAACAGTTTGTTTAGGAAACATACGCACGGTAATTCTTGAAATATAATTAATTTGTAAATCATACATACGCGTATCACGGAGAGAATATTAAAATGAATCCAAATTACGCTTATACGAGTAAATGGTGATAGAAATTAAATATTATAAAACTACATATTACAATTGGTTGATATTTAAAAATTAAAATATAATTTGCCTTATTACACAACTATACACAACTGTAAACATACTTGCATTTCGTAACGGGGAACATTTATTTAGGTAGATGTATAGCAGTGGCAAAATAACAACAAATTTACTCTATACCGAACTCGATTGTAAACAATTTACTGATAATATCTGAAACATGCCACAATTGGCGTATTTGAATTAACTATATATATATATATATATATATAGTTAATTCAAATACGCCAATTGTGGCATGTTTCAGATATTATCAGTAAATTGTTTACAATCGAGTTCGGTATAGAGTAAATTTGTTGTTATTTTGCCACTGCTATACATCTACCTAAATAAATGTTCCCCGTTACGAAATGCAAGTATGTTTACAGTTGTGTATAGTTGTGTAATAAGGCAAATTATATTTTAATTTTTAAATATCAACCAATTGTAATATGTAGTTTTATAATATTTAATTTCTATCACCATTTACTCGTATAAGCGTAATTTGGATTCATTTTAATATTCTCTCCGTGATACGCGTATGTATGATTTACAAATTAATTATATTTCAAGAATTACCGTGCGTATGTTTCCTAAACAAACTGTTCTTGCCTTAAATTGTATCTTAAAAATAACTTTACTAACTCGCATATGTATTACTTACATACAATACACGTTTGCATTCATGTAAATATATACAATTTACGCGTGCATTTATCAGCGTACATTCATTATGCAAAAGTACGTACACAAAAATTTAATTTTATTTTTCAGAGAAAGAAGCATGTCTGATGAGGTAGCAATTTATTTGAAAATTGTTTCAACAAATTTTAAAATTAGGAACTGATATAATATATAAATGAATTTGATATGCGAACATAATAAAAACAATTATTATGCGAACAATTAAAAAAATAATAATTCCAACCGTTCATAAATACACAATTATAAAAGTAATAAATGATTTAATGAGAACATTTGCTTACCACCTTCGAAAGATATTTTATGATTTCTTGCTATCCGAAGAAAAACTTCATTAAGAATAACAATTATTTATGGTACGATTTCTGTTAAAAAATCTAAATTATGTTTATGTTGCAAATAATTTATCAAACTGATGAAAAAAATCTTCATTAAAACAATTGAACAAAATAACAAAGAATGTATGCTTTATTTTAAAATAGACAATTTAAATAATGCATTAAAAGAGCTAAAAAAAGATATTTAACAGAGAGCGTTTATCAGTGTTTGTCTAAGAGAAAGTCTTATTAGAAAATGACCAGAGAAAATATTAGTGTCTCTACGTACAAATCGAGAAAATGTCAACAAAAGTTTTTTTCCAGTTTAGAGCCTTTAGCTTAAAACATCTGTCTTCTTTGAAAATTTAGAGACTTGCTTCTCTGAGGCAAATTATGAAGAGATATCCCAATAAAATATGGTTCTCTCGATATATGACATATTAAAAAATGGACAAAGGAGGTCCAGGGCCATAAAAATGATAAAGGCAATTTAAAAAAGGAAAAGACTTCTTCCCATAGTGTAAAATGAGGCAGTTGATTTTGAGGAGTCTAACTAAAGTCTTTGTGGGTGGTCAAGGGGTAAAAAGTCTAGGGAGGCTTTGGAACAAATTTTTATCACGATAAAAATTTGCATTGCAGTGAAGGCAGCATTTTATTACTTTTTTCCCGGGAAGGGTAAAAGAGAATAAATTATTTAGTATGGAACGCATTGCATAAAAATAAACACTTGATTTTTTTTATGCAGTGCGTTTTTTGTTTGGGTGTATTTTGTTTTTAAAAATGTCTCTTTCATTTAATTATGTAAAAAAAAGTGTTTGTCTTGCGAAAATAAAGTTTTAAAGTTGGAAAAAAAGGTTTTTTTAAAAATATTAATTTAACTTAACTTTACTTTTATGAATGTCCAAATTTCAGGAAGGGTGAAAATTCTAATTTTACTAATTTAACTGGATTTTATTTTTGTGAATGTGTAGTTGTTGTTAATTTACGTCGCACTAGAGCTGCACAATGGGCTATTGGCGACGGTCTGGGAAACATCCTGGAGGATGATCCGAAGACATGCCATCACAATTTTGATCCTCTGCGGAGGGGATGGCACCCCTGCTTCGGTAGCCCGACGACCTGCGCGCGTAAATTTCACAAGAAAATAAAGTTTTTATTTCTTCTTTTTTTTTTGAAAAATAGCTTCAAAATTGAAAAAAAAAAGTTTTTATTTTTTAAAATTACCAAAATAACTTAATTTTATTTTCACAAATGTCTAAATTTCAGAAGGGGCGCCGCACATTATTCACCCCTTCAATTGAGTTTCAGACAAAAATAAGGTTTTCAATTTCAAAAATGACTTCAAAATGGAAAAAAAAATTTTTTTTTCCTTCTAAAATAACTTTTTATATTTTACTTGACTTTATTATCACAAATGCCTAAATTTCGGAAGGGGACAAGCACATTATTTGCCCCCTCAATTATTTCAAGTGTAAAATCGAGTTTTTGATTTCGAAAATAACTTCAAAGATGAAAATAAAGTTTGCTTTTTTTTAAAATCTAAAATTACCTATTTAACTTGACTTTATTTTTATGAATGTCTAAATTTCGGAAGGTGCTAGCAAATTTTTGAAGAAAATAAGGTTTCCAATTTCAAAAACTACTTCAAAATTAAAAAAAAAATTTTTTTTTTCTATCATTTTATTCTTTTACAGTCATTTTAGTTGGAATTTACTTGACTTTATTTTCGCGAATGTTTAAATTTCAGGAGGGGTAAATCATATTATTCGTCAGCTCACTTAAATTTCAGAGGGTGCTGATCGCGAATTGGCGATCGCAACACTCGAACACATCTGTGGGGAGACCGGTTAGCCCTTCTCCCTCCCCTCGCCTCCTCTTTTCAGTTGCATAGGAATGTTCTTCGATATTTTCTCTTTTCTTAATATTTTACCTTTTTACTAAATAAAAATATTTTTCAAAATTCCTGTGATACTTTTCTTTAGAAATATGTTTAATGTAGTTTTCAGTTCTATATAGTTTTCCAACCTAAAAGATTTTAATCTGTATGAAAATCAAGAGAGAAACTAACGTACTTCCTTCCTCTATGACTTTCCACAGGCTAATGGGGAAAGCATGTGAAGTGTTTCCATAGGTAGAGCGTTCTGCTTTACGCCACCTGCAGCCCATTTCGATCGCCAATTCCACACAAGCCTCCAACAACACAACCTCCAGGGCCGAATGAACATTTTTTACACGCGTGTGCGTCTCTCATCTCTCCTCTTCTATGTTCTCTGTTGCGTAATTTTAGGTTTTCTCTAATTTTCATGCATTTTCATGCAAATAAATGGAACAAGTGTTTAAAAATTATAATTGAGAAGTTTTTGTAAGAAAAAGAGAGTTAATTTCTTTAAATGAGCAGATTATTTTTGAAGGAAATTTTCTCAAAGCAGCAAAAGCGATTGTTATTGGTTAATACTTGACTTAAAAGCGATGATTGAGATAGCCCAAATGCAACTTATACTGGACTTCCTAGCTGCAAATAATAAAGGTCAAAGCGTAATAAAGGAGTCTGAAGATTTCATTTTGTACACAAAGGAGGTCACGGGTCGAAGTGCCAGTGCGAAGTATTTAAAATAAATTAAATGTCATGGTTACTTAATTAATTCCCCTTTTGATTATTATTTTTAAAAAGGTGCTCATTTTAACTAATAAAAATAATGATTGAAGCGAAGCTGAAGCCTGATAGCTCATTAGCAGTATCTGAACTTATAATATCATCCTGTTCTGGTGCTGTGTTGACTTCCTTTTTCGGTATATAAGTGCTTTTCAAATATGTATTTTTCTTGTTTAAGGATTTGTATTGAAGGATATATATGTATGTTAGGATATGTTTCATGCATTGGATCAGTGAATTTGATGTATTTAATTTCTTAAATTATGTGCCTTTAGGAATTCCAAGATCATAATATTGTTAATTTATCATTTTTCAGCATTTATTTTTCTTTTATATCTTTGAATCAAATATTTTTCTGTTACATGCTAATTATTTGGATTTTTATCATAACGGGGAAATTTCCGTATCGTAATCTGTGGCAGTATAATCATCAAGCCTTGGCAACTTCCGGGCAGCCGCCCCCAAGATACTAAAAAAAATATTGTAGAAAGGGACCAATTCGAAAAATATACCTCGTAGCAACCACGGGTAAACACTCTATGTTTTTTAAAAAAATTGCTAGTTTGATATATATATGGCACCTTGGCGATTGTAGTTGGGGCAACAGATCACAAAACGGAAATATCCCCATAGTTGATAACACTTGGCCATTCAATAGGCAAAGTGTCGCCAACCTCTTGGTGACCGATTATGGTATCACGATTGGAAGGGGGAGAGAAAAGGCACTTCTAAGAGGAGAGGATCAAAAAAAAAAAAAAAAGAACAGTGTTATCGTCGTGATTTCAGAAACTGGGAAGAAATTGATGTATGAAGGAGAGAAAAAAACATCCCATGCAGAATGTTAACTTAGGAATAAACAAGTACAAGAGTGAAACAAGAATAATGAAATAGAAAATTAAAAATAAACATAAATAAACACTTACTTATAGAATCTCTATTCAAGTAAGCTAATCCATTTGGAAAATGTTAAGTTGCTTCTATTTATTTGAAATATAAAGTTCAGCAAACGTAATTATTTTACATTTATTGCATATTATATACTATGCTCTTAAGGGAACATTCATGTTAATATAATTATAATTATTAAAAAACAACTAAAATTATTTTTTTGCTAAGAATAATGAATCAAACTAAAATTTCGGCCAAAAATTTCTTAGATAAGCCTTGATTTATGGTTATAGAGTTCTAAAAAAATAATCATTAATACTGAATACAGAATACGTTTTTTTTCAATATTTAAACATTATAACACTTAGTATACAATTTTGCTGTAATATAAACAAATTAATTGAAAAGAAAATGTTTTTTTTTTTAAACATTAATTTCATGCAAAATTATACTAACTCTATTTTTATTATTTTTTTTAAAGCAACAATAATTAGTAAAAGTAAAGACACATTAATCTTATTTACACACAAAAGTTTTAAAAATACAACGAAAAAAGCTTGCATCATTAAGGAATATACCCTGAGTAAAAAGAGAAGGCAAAAATAAATTAATAATTTTTTAGATACAGATCTTAAACCAACAAAAAAATGCCTTTGAAATTAAAAAAATATAATTATTAAGAAATAAATACTTTTTATAAATTATTAATTTAAATAAAAAACCTTATTGAAGAAACACATTCTGCTGAACTTTCAACACAGTCACAAATGACGTAAATGAAAGAAAAAAAAAGAAAGAGGCCTGTGCTTTTCGATCGAACGAATCAGAACGTTTGCCTAGCATATTAGGTGGAAAACTGGCCAAAGCATCACATGATCTGGCTCTTAGAAGAGTTAAACTCTCCACCTCTTAGGATTCCCTCCCCCCATAAACAGAATATTTTCAAATGTTCTGCAACAGGACTTATTAATTTATGCAAATGTTCTGCAAGCATTTCACAGCGAAAAAATGTCAACTTTAAGTTAAAATACTATGTTTTCATTTATTAAAATACAGGATCAAACACAGATACACTACATTATTTTTTAAACCAAGGCAAACATTCTTGATTTGTTACTTTTTCAATCACTTTTGAAGTATGAAATTCTGTTAATGAGGATGATGAATTATTAATAAACTGCCTATGATATGAAGGTCCGAACATTAAAATGAGCGCTGTCTTAAAAATCTTTTGAAGCTGCAAGTGCCCAGATGGTGCACCATTTGCAAACACAAACATTCGGTGTTCTTTTGATTCAACAACTTCTTCAATCGTGGATCCCCACGATTCACAAATTGCTTTTGAAATGGGAATGGAAAATATAAATGTCATAAGCGTTATGAAATTGGAAATCTCTGAATTTAATTGTTTTACAGCTTGCTTTAGAAGCTCTTTTGATAAAAATGGTGATCAATTTCTCCTGCTGTCTGCTAAAAACTGATACACCCATTTTATTAAAATGCTATAGCCAAAAGCTGATTCATTAATTTCCTCCTCAGAATAGCAAAGATATGGGAGAGGGAGATTACTGATAAATGTGCTGAAATTTGTGCAGGGTGTCAAATGTTCCTCTTCTAAAGCAACATCATTCCTGGAAAACAGCAAGTGGTTAAAGCTAAGGAGAATTTTCATTCGTTTAATGACAATATCAACGTTTTCCTCTTTTTTCAAACTATATTTTATACTGTTCCAACATGGAATAAATGTAGATTATCATTTGCATTGCATTTGAGGAAAATATAGAAAGCTCAGAATTATTTAAGGCAGAGCGTAGTCTTTTGGAGCTAACAGGCAAATCTGGCAGAGGAACTCCTCTTATCCATACTTTCCTTGCCAAACATTTGTGATGCACTCTTAGTATTTTTAAATAATGAAGAAGGCAATGACTTCACTATATCTTGGAATTCTTCTATGCTTTCTACATTTGAAATGAGGATAATGTGAAAAGAAGTCTTCTCTTTTATAATGTGAAGAGAAGTCTTCTGGTTGCTGATGTGGTCGGCATGTTCCCATAGTAAAAGGTCTGAAGTCTGAACCAGTTTTGATTTACATGCTAATAGGGAAATTACATCCGAAAATAAAAGAATACGGAATAAGTTTCTTTTGCACAACAATTTGTGCCTAAGGCCATCATTTCCACTTGTTTCACAGGCAGCAACAAGGGCTTTGTAATCGTTGATGAAAGTGATGAAAACTTCTTTAGAATGGAAGACAAACTTTAAGATTTTAAAAAATTAGGCAGCAGTATCATCTGCACTTTGTAAAACCAATTCATACTGACACTTGAAAAAAATTAAATAAATTTTTTTTGAATTGAATTGTATTTTACAGTTTTCTCAGGATGTTGTCACTGGTAATGAAGTTTTAAATGTTTCAAAATAATCTGCTCATCACATTCAAGGCAAGCAACTCTATCACACTCACATGCAGATATTTTACTGAAGTTTGTTTTAGCAGATGTTTCAAGTTGTGATACATTGCGCAGATGACCAGCATAGTTACAAAAGTCAATGGGAAAGTATCCTATCCTGATCTATTCATTGCTAGAGAGGAAAGTGGGGGTGATGGATGAAGTGGGAGGAAATGTTCTGCAAGATTATGAGAGGAAGTTTTTAAACCTTCAGGTCATTATGGTCCACAGAAGAATGTAAGAGTTTAGGGTTGGGGATTGCTCTGCAAGACTACTGGAGGCAGATGGGTGTGGGAGGTTGGTTTGCAGAAAAACGCTGTCACTTATTCAAGATGCAAATTGTTCTGCAGGACTTCAATTGTTCTGCGACGTACGTCACAGATTTAGGCACTTTCTGCTTCTGGGCCCTCCCCTTCCATGATAAGTGCATAGTTTGCTCCAAAAAACATCTATTTTAAAATTATAGAAATTAAAAATACTGTTGAATCATTACTGTATCAATCATTCATCATTACCTCTAGGCAACAAATTTGTAAATGATTTGCAGAAAATTAGAAAAAAAACTATTTTGTAAAATCCCCTTAAAATATAAATATAAAAAACTCCCCTTGTTGCTGGAGAGTAACCATAAATCTTCAAGTTAAGCACATAATTGTTCATAAGAGCATTCCACAAATACTTGAATTTTTTATTTGACAACATCATCATCAATCAAACCAATCCCCTAAAAGTTTATTATTAAAAACACTAAAAACTTAAGAAAACTGTAACCATAACAAAACTTCAATTTCTGCATCAAACTCTACAGAAAACTATAAAAAAATTTACTCATCTCCCAAAAAATCCTAAATACATTAAATAAAACTCTTATTTAAAATAAAAATATATTAAAAAAATGCATCAATCAAATTCACACAAATGCAACTCAAAGTCACTTCACGAAACAAAAATGCCTACCAAAACAATCAGTCTGCAGAAAATTAATGTCAAATTCTATCTAAAAACCAAAATTTAAAGATTTAATTCCCATAGTTAATGTTACATAGAAAAAAAAAACACCAATAAAACATTCATTATGCCAATCATCTTCTCCCATCTACACAATCTGTGACATCTATCTGCGCACATCATCAAATTTCTACCTCCAATACATTCTCCGCATTTCTCTTGTATGCCCAATTACAAAACTGTCATAAACATTATCAAAACCTCAAATTTCAACCTACTATACAACCTCATTTACATCATGCTATATGTACGATTTTTCCATAATTACATTTACATCTCCATGATGTTTACATTCTAACAAATGCCAGACTATTATTATCTATCGCTGAACTTAATGATAACCCCCCTCTCCCCCCCCAAAAAAAGTGTAGACAGGTCTCCTGAATCTATACCCTTTAAGTGTTGAAGAAATAGATTAATGTTTAGAAAGTTCTTTTTTCTTTAATTATTTATTTTTCCTCTTACTCGGTAAATTTTTCCTTACGACCATACAAGTTGCCAGCTCTGTATATGTGGCAATAATTTACTATTTCTTGATGTCTGTTACCTCTGAAAGTAAAAATGGACATTATTGTTATAATAACGTATAATATAATGTCTATTATTTTATTTGTTTTTTTAAAAAATGTTTTGCCATTCATTCTTTTTAGTAACTCCTTTTGATGTTGTTAAAACACGACTTCAGGTTCAGATTAAAGAAGGAAAAGCAGTAAAGTCATTATGCACTCCTTATAATTGTCTTTGGGATGATTTATGTTACAATGGTAAATGTGTTTCACATTGTAAAATGCATTTCAAAGGTACAGTGGTGAGTATAATTTCTATTCCTATATTTAATAAAGAATTTTACTTTTCCCTTAAAAATTTCTGAGAAGCAAATTTAATTTCCTGAGCATAAATGTGTATTAGAATTATATGCATTTAGACAATCAGCTATTTTATCAATGATAAACTATTGGGTATTTTAATAAAATTAGATAAAACTAGATCCTGTATGGATTATTTTCTCGATTTGTTAATTTTTGCATCCTTGAGCAGTATTTCTCAGTAAAATATTTATTTTCATTATTTAATGGTATGTTGTGCTTAAAATACTTACAAGAAGTAAAAAAAATGCTTCAGTCACTCTTTGTAATTAAGTTATATCATTAAAAATATATACCGTATTTTTCGGCAAAAGCGCCGCTTCATCGCAAGCACCGCACTTCGATGAAAATGAAATTTTAAAAAAAAAAAGTTATTGTAAGCGCCGCAATGCCGCTAAACCGCGCATATCAGCATTCTTTTAGAAGAGACCTTTAAATTACCATTTAGAATATCAGTATAATAAAAAATTAAATTTTTGTATGCATTTCATAAAGTAAAGTTTTAATTTCTAAATTATAATAAAAAATTTCTTTNAAAAAAAAAAAAAAAAAAAAAAAAAAAAAAAAAAAAAGAAAACAACGAAACTATATAAAATAAAGTTGTTCTTACCAGTTGGCACCGCGCCATAAAATAAAAATTTATTAAAAGAAAGATTTTAAAATAAAAAGATTTTAAAATTTATTACCGTTAACAATTTGAGGAAAAACTAATACATAATAACGAAACAGCTAATAATAACGAAATAACTAATAATAACAAGAAATAACTAAGCAGGCCCCAAAAAAATTCTGAAGGAATGACCGAAGGGGAAATAAGTTTCACTTTCACAATCTTTGGGGGTGGAATTTTAGTGGGTAGAATGCCCTCTCCTTCAATGGATTTAACCCAATGTGACTCAACTTAGAAAGAGAGGCGGCCCTGGTGTACCCCACCTCCTCCACGTGTCATTTCTATTGGAGCTGTTTAGGAGGAATCAATCAGTTATTTTTTTAAAGGGGTTGGGGAAAAGAAAAGTATATGGGACCCCTAATCCAGCATTCCAAAATTCGGCACTTAATCTGATCTAATCTTTTTCTTTTTTTTTTTAAGAAATTTATATTGATAAGACAAAAAAAATCAGCTATATTCTTTTTATTTGGAATTTTATTCTGTTGAAGGTACGGTATCTTTTAAAAATAAAAATAAAAATGAACGGTATCTTTTAAAAATAAAAAACAGATTTAAAAAAAAAAAAAATCTGTGTCAAAGGAAACTTCTGTTTCTAAAGCAGTTTAAAATAAAGTGAGAATTAAAAACACCTGCATTTCCAATGAACAAAATAAAGAAATGGAAGTTGGAAAAAACTGATCAATCAATCTTGACAGCTGTGCTTTACTGATTTGCCCCCACATTTCCCTCCTCTGTTTGACCATAAATTGGCCACACCCAGTTGACATTGAAACTACCACGTGGACAACAAAATGAATTCTATCCCGTTTGCGGTTTTTTATTCGATTCATAAATTTTTTTTTTATTTTGCCGCTTTTTATTTTTTCTTGTTAATTGTTGCTTGCTTGTTTTTTTTATTTTATCGTTATTAGTTTTTAGCTTGTTTTTTGTTGTTATTCATTGTTAGTTTCTTAGCATTAATTGTAAATTTTTTTTTTGTAGTTCCCTGTTAGTTTTTTTTTTTTTTTTCTTCTTGCGAGGTAAGCGTCTTTTGTTAAAACAAAATGTTATCTAAAAGAAAAACCGAGAACTATGATCTCGCTCCAAAGAAGAAACGATTATTTCTTCTTCATAGGAATCGGATTATTTCTTCTTGATTACATTATATAGATTATTATTTTGATTAGTAAAATTTCTCTTAAGATGGGTCAGTTTTAAATTCACCCATCATAATCTACGATCGAAACTTGAATAAATTTATTGGTTTTTCTGAAATTAACAGTGGAATTGAATTAGAGTAATATTTGGGGGCCATATTGGAATTTCTGAAAGAGATCCGAAGTTCGGCATTTCGTCAGTCCCGTGAGTGTCGAATTTAGGGTCCTATTCTTCCTTTTCTGTTCGTTCAATTGACAAGACGCTAAATAGATTTCTAGCTTGCGATTTTTCTTTAAGCTGGGGGTGGATACAAGATGCATACCTTTTAAATTTTCTCCTTATGCGATGTTTTTTCAAAATTTTTATTTCGTTTATTTATTTTCTTATAGGCTGCTGCCGAAAGTTTGCAGATCGCGATACGGCGAATATTTCGTCGACTTCGTTATTAATTTTTTTTAATAGTCTTTCTCTCAGAAAATTAATTAATCTTAAATAACTTTCCTTGACAAATTTTTTGCTACTAAAAAATATTTCGTCGGAAGCGCCGCTGCATCGGAAGCGCCGCATGTAGGAAAAAAACAACTTTTTTTTCGATAGCGCCGCGGCTCTTCCGCCGAAAAATACTGTATACGTGAAATGTTATTACCATCCATTGTCCCGAACACACACATCTGAACTTTTTAAAGAATTCACTATACTATAAAAGCGTTGCAGAGATAAATGCATACATATTCTATTGTAGTATGAGTGTCTACTTGATTGTGTATAATCAATATTCTTAGAATAATTTGTTGATTTTGTTTCACGCCTCATTTTGTATCTGTCCAACTTTTGTGTAATTTTAGTCCCAAATTATGAAAAGTGCCTGTAAAACACTTTAGATGGCGCTAATTGAATAAAATGTAACTCCAAGGTAAAATAGAGTCCTCTTTTCTACAGAAGAGTAAGGTTTAATTGCAGTACCAATTCTTTTATGGTTTTCGTAACCTGTAATTAAATTTTTATCTACTTAATTATCTATTATATGTTTATTATTTCTGTTATTTTTTGGAAATTATTGAATTTAATTGCTTGTGAAGAAAGAAGAGAAAAATTAAAAAATATATTTTGTCTGATAGCAAGATATTAAATGAATTCTGAAAAATATAAGCATATATGAAAAATTGTATTAGTACTTTGCATCGATTAAAAATAATCAGATTCAACAAGGAATATGTTTTTTCTTTGATAAACGCTTTCAAACTTTATTTTCATTTTTATTCTAACGAAAACCACAATTCAGCACATTCATATTCAGCTTTTGTATAACACTAAAATTAAGTTGGTAACATAGCTGGCTCCAAACCTGTAAATTCAATTATCTGGCATAAAATAAAATAAAATATTAAGACTAGTATTGATGAAACAATACAATGAAAAAATTTCATACTTCATTCATTAAATATTTTCAAAATAATTAATAGTCTTTAGTTGATTAATATGTTTACAATTGCTAATGAAATTTATTCAATAAGTTTTAGGGGTCTGCCAAAGAAAGATTGATCATTTATAGTTCCATAGCTGAGTAAAATTGGGAAGTGTTGACCTAAGGGACTGTAATTACTTTTGAAAAACTTGTAATGTGCTTCATTCATTTGGTTTTGTTATTGCATGTTTAGTTCTTTTTTAACAGATTTCAAACAATAATAAAAAAAAACATTATTTTACATGAGAACAGTGTTCGTCAATGTAAGAATGCTAAATTTTAAAACTTCAGTATAAATTTATGGCTGTTATTAGTTTTATAAAAATATTATTAATTTAAAGTTGAAATAATCCTCATAAAGTGTTTTGGTAACTATCAATCTGCTTTTTGTTCCAATGATAGTTTTGATTCAGAAAATCAAAATATGAACTTTCAAAAGTAAGACTAAAAATCTAAAAAATTGGTCTTTTTTTCCCGAAACCTAACTACATTTTTATATTCGTTTTTAAATTTTCATTTTAAAATCTTGATATTTTTGTTTTTTCTTTATATTCTTATTATGAATTCAGTAATTTAGAATGTTTGCATAATTGTTTTAAGTTATAATTTTAACAGTATAAATATCTGAATTTTGTAGTTTTGATTACGTTTTTTTCTTTTTTAGTTTTTATAAATTTTTTTTAAGTATAAATAAAAATGTGGTTATTTGTTTAAAAAAAGAAAAGAAAGAAACTTTTACACATATTAGAAATTTTCAGTTTTAGTTTTAACTACTCATTGATATTTCTTAATTTTAGATACATTGTATAGATTTAGGTGATAAAAAAAGTTCAAGAATAAAAGTTTGACTTGAACAAAAAGTTTCAAGGAAATATAGTTTTCGATTGAAGTATAGTACTGAGTTAATGCGTGCTTATTAACAGGAAGAATTTAAAAGGTGAAGTATTTTAGAAGAAAAGAATACCATGGGTACAGCTAAGAGAGAACCACAAAATTAATGATGATGTACTGATTAATGATTTTCTTTTTATTGATTCTGAAGCTGCAACCACAGAAGCATTAACTGAATCAGGTATTTTGGACAGTGTGAAAAATAAAAACAATACGGCCATAAATTGTGAGGAAGACGGAAATGATGAAGAAATCACCAAACCTTCATATGATAAAATGTTAATAATGTAAATGTAAATGATAAAATCATTTGAAACAATTCAATAATAAATAATAATTTACAAGATCAAGGTGTATTAATTGCTATTTTAATTAGGTCTAGTGTTTATGAACTTAAAACCTGTTTTGTGTTTAAGTATTTCAAATGGTGATTTTCTATCTAACGAATTTTCAACACAGCGAACTTTTTATTGAGATTTAGCGACTTGTTAAATAGAGGTTCGACTGTCAGTGTTAGGTTTGCTAGAACTTTTTTTTGCATATCTTGTGAAACTGATTTAATTTGTAGACATTACACATTAAGTCTATCAAAAGTTGACATTTTATTGAAGAAATCAAAAATCCCGCAATAAACACATAAAAACAAAGTAAAAAAGTTAGCTGAAATTTCATGTTGTAAATCTTAAGTTGGTCAGTGGGTTGCAGTTATTTAAGATAGCAATATACTTTATATCTTTTGAGATAGTTTGATATATATACTTGGGGGACTCTAGTATAAG